CCGCCCCCCCGCCCGCCGCCCCCCGCCTTCGCCTCCGTTCCCCGCCCGCTCCATCTTTCCCGAGCCGCCGGCTCGGCCCCGCACCTCGGCCTCGGCCCTGCTTGTCCCGGGCCGGCGACCCGAAATGGCCCCGGGCCGGGCCCCGACGGGGGCCAGCGGGTGGCGGCGGCCGAGCGGGCTCGGGGTGGGGGGGTCCGGGGGCTCTGCCCACCTGTTGGGGGCCCGGCCCGGCCTGGCACGGGCGCCGTGCGCGTCGCTGGGCGGCCCGGGAGCATCCTGTGGGCCTGGCGGGCCTGAGCGCTCGGGCCCGGCAGGCTGAGCCCCCACTGCCCTGAGCTGGGGCGCGTGGCCCTGGGAGGTGCTGGCTGCCCTCCCGGGGCCGAGCTTCCGGGCTGTGGGGGTGCGCAGGGGTGGGGAGCGCCGTGCTGGGGGCCGCATTCCTCCCCCGGAGCCCCTGGGGTGTACCTGGGGGCTTCCCCCAGCAGGTTGCGCGGAGCCCCTGCGGCCGGCCGCCTCCCCCCAGCTCGCCCCGCGCCCCCGCACTGTTACCACCTCCTGTTGCCCCAGCCCAGCAGGGAGGTGCTTTGGGAGGGGTGGGAAGAGGTAAGGAGCCCTGGGTGGGGGGTGGTGTGGAATCGGCTGGGGCCCTGCGGGCTTCCCCCACTTCCTCCTCTGCTTTGGGTCTTAGGAAGCCCCTAGCCTTTTGGGCCTTGCCCCACTGTGTTCTGTGGGGTCCTGGGCCAGTCCGCCGCTGGCTCCTCCACAGGGAGAGGGCCTACCCTCACTGTCCCCTCTTCCCATTGGTGCCTGCCGTCCCTGTGTCAGGGGCGGGAACTCTCTCAGTCCTCTCTGTCCCAGTCGACTGTTGTCACCGGTTGGCTGGCCCCCCAAGAGCCTGGGACTCACCTCTCCAGCCAGCCAGGCCTGTCTTGTGACCTTGGGCTTAACCTCATCTGTGTAGTGGGTCAGCCATCAGGCCTGCCCCCCACCTCCGGCTCAGGGGCAGTCATGGGAGTGGGGGCCCGCCATCCCGTGGAGCAGCAGGCCCCTAGTGGACAGATGTGGGCCGCAGGCAGGGGTGCAGGGGCCCCACAAGCGAGGGGCCATTCGTTTCCCACCTTAGGGGCAAGGCGGGAGTGTCACCCCAGAGGCCCCTCCCCAACACGCTGCCAGGGAAGCTCCTTGACAGATGCTGGACCCCAGGGGCAACTCCCTTGCCTCCTTCCCAGCAGCCCCCGGCCTCTTCCTCAGCCCCCCTCCCCCTGCTGCGGCTCAGGGCTCCTCCCTGTCTTGTAGGCAGTTTCTCTGCTCTGCTTCCCCTCTGCGTGCGTGCTTGGAACCACCTCTGTACGGTGCAGACCCCCTCTTTCCTGGTGGGAGGCCCCCACGGCTCCCACCAACGGGTGACACGGCCCTGCAGGCTGCCAGCTGGTCCCCACATGCCGTCTGGGCCGTGGGGTTCATTGAATAGATGAAGGCACGATTATCAGAACAGGGACACCCGCTCCTGGAGGGAGACTAGAGGGGACCAGGCAGGGTGGCGGGCCGTGGCCCCCGGGCATTGCCTTCCTGGCACGGGGCCGGCGGCTTGAGCAGGACCCCCATCCAGACCCTGGGCCCCCTTGCTGTGTGGGCTGTGCCGCTTGGCTTTTAGGCCTGTCTGCCTGTGAACTTGGCGGGGGCCTGGCCTGCCCCACATCTGCTGGTCCCCCCTCTGAGTGCCGCAGGTGGGACCACAGGCTCCCACTCAGAACACCCCCTGGGTCCCTGTGAAGGAACTGTTAGCTCTCTGTCTGTGCATGGGGACTCTGGGGCGGTGGCCCAGGGGCCTGGCAGGGCCACCTGGCCGCCTGCCCCTCGGAGCTGCTTGCTTAGGGAAGGGGCGTCTGGAACACGTGCCCCTCTCTCTGGGGCCGATTGCGGCCCAGGGTTTGCCCCGTCTGGGCGGTTCTGGCCTGGCGGAGTGCCATGGGGATGTTCTGAGAAGGGGGACACTCCCTCCACCTTCTTACCTCCGCTCAGGACCCTGAGAGCAGAGCCTTTTCCGATGGTGTTGCATTCGGCGAGGGAAGTTAAGGCGGCCAGTCAGGTGTGAGTGTCACGTAAGCACTTTCTGAGTCTGTGTCCCAAATACTGCAGAGGACACACTGGGCTAGAAAAGCCGTAGCGGCAAGCCCGAGTTATCTGGGCGTCCTGCATTTTACCTGGCAGGCTGCTCCGAGGCCCTGCCAGGATGTCTGGGTGGGGCGGGCACCGGGGGGCGGCCGAGTGCCAGCTGACCAGCTGGGTGGAGTGGGTCAGCCTGGGAGGGGACGGCCTGCTTCTTCCCAGGGAAGTGACCTGGCTGCCGACAGACGCCTTCTGTTGGCGGCTCTGAGTGTGGCAAGGCGGGGCCCCACTGTGGGTGGCCGGGTCAGGGTCCATGACCTCTGCTCCTTTGGGGTCTGCCTTCCCGCGCCCTCGGCAGGCTTCGGGACCCGCGGTGTGCCGCGGGTGCTGTGGGGTGACTCTTTGCGGTGCACATTTCAAGCAGAGGGGTTGGGGAAGGTTTCGGAACCTGCAAACCACCTGCCAGCAGGGTCACTCTT